TCTTGCTCTCTCTCTTCTTCTGGCACCCCTATAATTCAGATGTTGGTACGCTTGAAGCTGTCCCAGAGGCTCCTTACACTATCTTCGTATTTTTGGATTCTTTTTTCATTTTGCTTTTCTGGTTGGGTGTTTTTTGCTTCTTCGTATTTCAAATCTTTGACTTGATTCTTGCAATCCTCTGGTCTGCTGTTGGGAGTCTGTATAATATTCTTTATTTCAGTCAGTGTATGCTTAATTTCTAGTTGGTTCTTTATCACAACATCGAGGGTCTCACTAGATTTCTTGAAGATCTCACTACATTTATCGGCGGCCTCACCAGTCTTTTCGAGGGCCTTACTAAATTTATCAGCGGCTTCTAGACAGTTCTTTAAAGACCTTAAAAGTGTGGTTTTGAACTCTATATTCAGAAGTTTGCTTTCCTCCATGTCTGTCATTTGTGTCCTGTTTCTTTGTCTCGGCATTTTTTATGCTTCGCTGTGTCGATAGAGTGCCTTTCTGTGCTAAGTGTCCCAATTACCTGAGGTAGACACTCTTAGTGCACCCCCTTGTGGGCTTTGTGCACAGTCTTGTTGTAATTATGCCTTGATTGTTGTAGTTATCACTGTGAGGAATTGACCTCCAGGCCAATTGGCTGTGAGAATCAGCTGTGTCTGCAGTGGGAGAACTTCTGTCCTGGAGACACCCCTCTGGGGCAAGACTTGCTTCAATGGGGCTTTGGTGCTCACTGAGTCTGCCCCCTGAGTGTGTCTTTTATGGTTCCACGGAGCTGCAAACCGGATGGTCCCACTCTGACCTCTGGGCTTCCTGGCTCCTGGATCTCTAGGGAGGTGCTAATCTAGCCTTTGCCTGTGGCTATCCAGTAAAAGCCTCCATGCAGGGCTTGGGCGGGGCGAGTTTCATGGGATCAAGAGGGCAGGGCTAGCAGTTATGACTGCTCTCAGTCCTGCCCTCAGAGGCTCTGCTTCTCAGTGTCCCGGTAATCGCTGTAAGCCCCTCCGAGAGAAAGCTGCCCTCGGGTTCTGACCGATCCCAGACAGTCCCGCTTCTCCCTTATGAGTCTGGGTCCCTAGAGACTCGCCCGGAACTGGAGCTCAGAGCCTGAGACTCCCTCCCGATTGAAAACGACAACCGCGCCCTCAGCCGCCAGCCCTCTCCGCAGGCACTCCGCACCTTAGTATTTTACTTCCGCACTGCGCCTCTTCTGAGTCTCGGTATGCTTTTCTCTTTCCTTCTAGATGTAGAATTTCCACTCAGCCAGCCTTCCTGTGGTTCTGGATGATGTCCTTTCCGTCTTTTAGTTGTATTTTTGAAGTGGTGTTCGAGGCAGCAAACTCCGGTGTTTACCTATGCTGCCATCTTGGTTCTCCTCTGGGTTCAGTTTTTATCCTATTATGCTTCCAGTTTCCATTTCATTAAGTCTCACTCTAATCTTTATTATTTTCTTCCTTCTGGTTGCTTAAGGTTAATTTGCTCTTCTCTTTCCAGTTTCTTAAATTGGAAGTCTGGTTATTGATTTGAAATATTTCTTTCTTTTGGATTATCACCTTTTACAACTATGAATTTCCCTCTAAGCCAGCCATGGGCAAACTACGGCCCGCGGGCTGGATCCGGCCCATTTGAAATGAATAAAACTAAAAAAAAAAAAAGACCGTACCCTTTTATGTAATGATGTTTACTTTGAATTTATATTAGTTCACACAAACACTCCATCCATGCTTTTGTTCCGGCTCTCCAGTCCAGTTTAAGAACCCATTGTGGCCCTCGAGTCAAAAAGTTTGCCCACCCCTGCTCTAAGCACTGTGTCTCAGTCTGTCTGAAATAGTATAAGTAAATACCGCAGACTACATAGCTTATGAACAATAGGAATTTCTTTTTCACAGTTCGGGAGTTTGGAAGTCCCAGATCAAGGTGCCAGTCTAGTCACATTATCTGGTAAGGGCCATCTTCCTGGTTCATTGCTGGCACTTTCTTACTGTATCCTCACATGGTGGACAGGACTAGAGATCTCTTATAAAAGGCACTAGTCCCATTCATGAGGGCTCTACTCTCATGACTTTACCACCTCCATATGGCCCCACCTACTAATACCTTCACCTTTGGGGGTTAAGGAATTTGTGAGGGACACATTCAGACCATAGCATACTGTTTAAGCAGCACCCCATTAGTTTTGGTATGTTGCATTTTTCTTTTTATTCATTGTGATTTTTTAAAATATGTTTTCATTGCTTTTTAGAAAGAGGGAAAGGAAGAGGGAGAGAGAGATAGAAACAACAATGAAAGAAGAACCTCATCCATTGGCTGCCTCCTGCAGACCCTCTACTGGGGATTGAGCCTGAAATCTAGGCATGTGCCCTAACCAGGAATGGAACCAGTGACCTCCTGGTTCCTGGGTCGACACTCAACTGCTGAGCAACACTGGCCAGGCCATTGTGACTTAGTTTTTGACCTATTATTTACTTAAGAATCTGTTGTTTTATATCCACATATTTGTGAATTTCCAAAATTTTATTACCTTATTGATTTCTAATCTTATTCCACTGTGGTTAGAGTACATACTTTGTGATACTTCAAAACACTTTAAGTTTATTTGAAGTTTGTGTTGTGGCCTAGCATATCGTCTGTAGTGAAGAAAGTGCTATATGTGCTTTAATATGTTTTTATTGATTTCAGAGAGGAAGGGAGAAGGGAGAGAGAGATAGAAACATAAGTGATGAGAGAGAATCATTGATCGGTTGCCTCCTGCTTGCCCCCTACTCGGGATCGAGCCCGCAACCCAGGCATGTGCTCTTGACAGGAATCAAACCCAGGACCCTTCTGTCCACAGGCCAACGTTCTATCCACTGAGCCAAACCAGCTAGGGCCATATGTGCTTTAGAAGGATGTGTCTTCTTCTTGGGTTGGTGGAAATTTATGGATATCTATTAAGTATAAAAACTGTATACAGTGTTATACAATTGCTTTTTTAAAATTAAGAGAAGAAAAATGAAATATATCTTCATATTGTCTCCTATAGTTATGCAGCTACTTTTACCATTGGACTTTATTTTGTTATTTGGATTCAAATTACTATCTGGTGTCACTTGTTTTCAGCCAAAGAACTTCTTTTAGATTTTTTGTAAAAATAATTCTGGTAGCAACATATTCTCTCAGCTTTTGTTTATTGGAGAATTTCTTTATTTTGCTTTCAGTTCTGAAAGATAGTTTTGCTGGATATTAGATTCTTGGTTACTGTTATTTTCTTTCATCATGTTAACTGTGTTATCCTACTGCCTTCTTTATTGAGATTCTATATTTGCTGAGGCAATGTCATCAGACATTCTTCCTTTTGTGTGGTTTCCTTTAGTTGTTTGAACATATTTAAAATAGATGCTTTGAAATATGTGTATGCTCAGTTCAACATGTGAACCTTTTAAAAATAACTTCCTGTTGCCTGCTTTTTTTCCTGCATGTGAGACACACATTCCTGTTTCTTCACATATCTCATAATTTTTTTGTTGAAAACTGAACATCATATATATCTTTGAACACTGGTTCCCCTTCTGGGACTTGTTGTTAATATTTGCTTGTTAATTTGTTTAGTGACTTGGCTGTTCTAGTTCATTGAAGTCTATTTTCCATAGCTGTATCACTCCTCAGAGGGCACAATCTTTGCCCGTGCAGTCACCGTGACCCCTCTTCCCCAAAGGGATGAAAGTGGTTTTTAGCAAGGTTATTTTTTACCATCTCTTTCCCTGACCTCCCTGTTAAGTTTCTAAATGTCCTTCTATTGTTATCACACCCAGCTATTAGTCATAACTCGTGTGTGTGTGTGTGTGTGTATGTGTGTGTGTGTATGTGTGTGTGTGTTTGAAAATGCTCTTTGGCACAAATTGAAGGGGAAGGAATCTTCTTAGCTTTTTCTTTCCTTGGTTCTCTTTATAAGAGCTGGTCTACTGTTTTGCTTGTTGATATCATTGAGCTACCAGCCACCTCTTAATTGTTTAACACCAAGATCTCCATGTTTTTTTTATAATGCCCTTAGACTTGAACTCTCCCATGCCTCTTTCCAATTAAAGTCAGTCCTTTTAGGTAAACCTACAAAGCTCACTCTTCTAATGGCCTGCCTCTCCTCCTGAGCAGAAACTCCGTACTCTTGTTTTGTTGCTGCAGGCAAGAACGGTGGCCCATTTCTATCAGAGTGACAATCAAGCTCTGTGAGTTGAGGGCTGGGCAAGAGTCATAGTCCCAGGCATTCTTGCCTTACCTCTCCCAGCATGGAAACCCTATCCTATGCGCAAGCTAAGGTAAAGGCATTTGAGACCTAGTATTCTCAGTATGCCATGCCTGGTATGGAGTGGGGGCTAGGTAGAGGAAGAGAGCTCCAGGCTTCTCAGTTGTGCTTGTTTTATAATAGAGCTTATGCAATATAGATCTTGGGAAGGAAGATGAGAGGTAGTGGCAGCATGCTCCTCTGGGAATTCTAGCCTGGAAGCTGAGGGTAGAGGGAGCACCATCTTATTGGCCACACCCACCTAAAGTAGCATTTACATCTCACTGAGCTGGGGAGTTGGTGAGCAGATCATGTCTTAACTGCCATAGGTGCTCACTGTTCTAACTGAAACTTAGTAAATTTCTTGGAATAGATTTGCTCTATGCCCTTAGGCCAACTTCCTGAGACTTTGCATGATTGTGTCTTCCAATTTTCAGTTATGGTTGTTTTTCTGGGAAGAAGGTTTATGGAGCTCCTCACACCACCATCCCAGCAGCAGTGCTTCTCTTCTGACCTAGATTATTAAAGAAATTGATAATGCTCAGATTTTCTATTTAATACTCATTTTCCTGAGACATTAAGGAAAAGTACAAATAGAGGGTAATATTTCTATATAAATTCTAAAATGTTCAGTTTAAACTATAATTTTATTTTTAACTGTTTTTAATGAAAATGATGTCAAGATTATTTTAATTTCCTTAAAGTTTTGTTTGGTTGAGACTAATATTTTTTGTTAATTGTTGCCCAATAGACCAGATTTCTGAATCGTGCACTTGAGCAGACCCATAAATGCAGAGACGTCTGGAATCTCCTGAAAGAAACAGGTATAGTGGGAACTGGGAATTTGGTAATGCAGTTATGAAGCATGTTTGAAATCTGAATAACCCAGTCTTTTATCATCAGAAATTTGTGCCTCTTGCAGTACTTGACAGTCAAATGATTCTTTAAGAACTAATTTTTCCTCACTGTATGTCTATTTTGACTCTGTGACACACTGTTTGGAATAAGAATATATTTTACCTTGCTTTTTTGTGAAAATATATAGTATTAAATATATATGACTTCATTACTCTTAGGTCAGTAGAGTAATTGTCTAATTTAATCAACTTTTTATCACAGTATAAATATATCACAGTTTATATCTTTTTAAATTTTAATGCATTTTTCTTTATTTTTTTCCATCACCACTTATCCTCCCTATACTCTTTTCCACCTCTATTCCCCTCCCTGCAATCACCAAAGTTGTTTGTGTCCATGAGTTCTCTTTTTTTTCTTTTTTGCTTATTCCCTCCACCAGCCCAACCCCCTCTCCCCCAGAGCTATCCACCTATGATCTATCTATGAGTCTGTCTCCATTTTGCTTGTTAGTTCAGTTTGTTCATTAAATTCTACATATGAGTGAAATCATGTACTTATCTTTCTCTGACTGGCTTATTTCATTTAGCACAGTGTTCTCCAGGTCCATCCATGCTGTCTCAAAGGGTAAAATTTTATTCCTTTTTATGGCCGAGTAGTATTCTATTGTGTAATACTACTCATCTACTGATGGACACAGGGGCTGCTTCCACATCCTGGCTATTGTAAATAACACTGCAATGAACATAGGGGTGCATATATTCTTTCGAATTAGTGTTTCAGTTTTCTTCTGATAAATTCCTAGAAGTGGAATTGCTAGATCATAAGGCAGTTCCACTTTTAATTTTTTAAATATGTTTTTATTGATTTCAGAGAGAGAGAAGAAGAAGAGAGAGAGAGAGATAGAAACATCAATGATGAGAGAGAATCAGCAATTGGCTGCCTCCTGCATGTTCCCTACTGGGAATTGAGCCCGCATACTGGGCATGTGCCCCAATTGGGAATTGAACTATGACCTCCTGGTTCATGGGTCCATGCTCAACCACTAAGCCACACCAGCCAGGCCATTTTTAATATTTTTAGGTAACTCCATATTGTATTCCACAGTGACTACACCAATCTGCCTTCCCTTTTCTCCACTTGTTGTTTGTTGATTTATTGATGATAGCCATTCTGACAGGTGTGAGGTATATCTCATTGTAGTTTTAATTTGCATTTCTCTGATGATTAGTGATGCTGAGTATCTTTTCATGTGTCTATTGGCCATCCATATGTCTTCGTTGGAGAAGTGTCTATTCAGTCTTTTGCTCATTTTTTAATTGGATTATTTTTTGGTGTTGTTTTATAAGTTCTGTATAAATTTTGGATATTAACCCCTTATCAGATGTATTGGCAAATATGGTATGTCTAATTTAATCAACTTTTAACACTGACTAAATATAGGCTAAATAGTCTTCCAAACTATAATCACGATATCAAATACAGACAGTCCTCGGGTTACGTCGAACTTGATGTACGTTGTTTCATGGTTACGTCACCATCTCCCATTTATTTATTAAAAAAAGAAAAGTTCCGTCATTTCGATGTATGTACATATGTGCTTTGTGTTTTTTATTATTTATTTACCAGAGGTAAAGCTCAGGAATTGTTATCTTTCTTTTAAAGATTAGAGCATAAATAAAAAACAGAGAGACTAAAAAGACAATACAAAAAAATCAATGAAACCAAGAGCTGGTTCTTTGAAAGGATAAAGAAAATTGATAAACCATTAGCCAGATTCATCAAGAAACAAAGAGAGAGAGCCCAAATAAATAAAATCAGAAACTAAAGTGGAGAAGTAAACACTGACACCACAGAAATACAAAGGATTATAAGAAAATACAATGAACAACTATATGCCAACATGGATAAAATAGAAAAATTCCTAGAAAAATACAATCTCCCAGAGCTGAATCAGGAAGAATCTATAACCCTGAATAGGCCAATAACTGATTAAATAGAAGCAGTAATAAAAAAAAAAAACTCCCACCAAACAAAAGCTCAGGTCCAGATGGCTTCACCCAGGAGTTTTACCAAACATTCAAAGAAGAACTAAACCTATACTTCTCAAATTATTTCATAAAATTCAAGAGGAAGGAACATTTTCAAACTCTTTTTATGAGGCCAGCATTTTCCTAATTCCAAAATCAGATAAATACACTATAAAGAAAGAGAATTACAGGCCAATATCCCTCATGAATATAGATGCTAAAATCCTCAAAAAAATATAAGCAAATCGCATCCAGCAATATATTAAGAAGATCATACACCATGATCAAGTGGGATTTATTCCAGGAATGCAAGGCTGGTACAATATTTTCAAATTAATAAACATGATACATCCCATAAACAAATTGAGAGACAAAAATCACATAATCATACCAATTGATGCAGAAAAAGCATTTGACAAAATCCATCACCCATTTTTGATAAAAACTCTCAGCAAAGTGTGAATAGAGGGATCATACCTCAACATAATAAAAGCCATATATGCCAAACCTACAGCCAACATCATACTCAATGGGCAAAAACTAAATCCATTTCCCCTAAGAACAGGAACAAGACAAGGATGCCCACTTTCACCACTCCTGTTCAACATAGTACTGGAAGTACTAGCCATAGCGATCAGACAAGAAGAAAAAATAAAAGGCATCCAAATTGAAAAAGAAGAAGTAAAACTGTCCTTATTTGCAGACGACATGATATTATACATAGGAAACCCCAAAGACTCCATCAAAAAACTACTAGACCTAATAAATGAATTTGGCAATGTAGCAGGATACAAAATTAACACCCAGAAATCTATGGCCTTTTTATACACCAATAATGAACTTACAGAAAGAGAAATGAAAAAAACAATCCCACTTACCATTGCACCAAAATAATTAAGATACCTAGGAATAAACTTAACCAAGGACATAAAAGACCTGTACTCGGAAAACTACAGGACATTGAAAAAAGAGATAGAGGAAGATATAAACAAATGGAAGAACATCCCATGTTCATGGTTTTGTAGAATCAACATTATTAAAATGTCCATACTACCTAAAGAAATCTATAGATTCAATGCAAAACCTATTAAAATACCAAAGGCATATTTCAAAGATTTAGAACAAAATCTCCAAAAATTCATCTGCAATAAAAAAGACCCCAAATAGCCACAGCTATCTTGAGAAAGATGAACAAAGTTGGAGGGATCACAATACCAGACATCAAACTATATCACCAGATCATGGTTCACAAAACTGCCTGGTACTGGCACAAGAACAGATATATAGACCAACGGAACAGAATAGAGGACCCAGAAATTGACCCAAGACATTATACTCAATTAATATTCAACAAAGGAGGCAAGAGCATACAATGGAGTCAAAACAGCCTCTTTAATAAACGGTGCTGGGAAATTTGGTCAGATACATGCAAAAAAATGAAACTAGATCACTAACTTACACCAAACACAAAAACAAACTCAAAATGGCTAAAGGACTTGAATGTAAGATGGGAAACCATAAAAATCCTACAGGACTCCCTAGGCAGCAAAATTGCAGACATATGTCGTAGCAATATCATTACAGACACAGATCCTAGGGCAAGAGAGACTAAGGAGAAAATAAACAAATGGGATTACATCAAAATAAAAAGCTTCTGCACAGCAAAAGAAACCATCAACAAAACAACAAGAAAGCCCACTGCATGGGAGAACATATTTGCCAATGTTATCTCTGATAAGGGTTTAATCTCCAACATTTACAGGGAACTCATACAACTCAACAAAAGGAAAATAAACAATCCAATCAAAAAATGGGCAAAGGACCTAAGTAGAATCTTTTCGAAAGAGGACACTCAGAAAGCCAAGAGACACATGAAAACATGCTCAAAGTCACTAATCATCTGAGAGATGCAAATCAAAATGACAATGAGGTACCACCTCACACCTGTCAGAATGGCTATCATCAACAAATCAACAAATGACAAGTGCTGGAGAGGATGTGGAGAAAAAGGAACCCTCCTTCACTGCTGGTGGGAATGCAGACTGATGCAGCCATTGTGGAGAACAGTATGGCTTTTCCACAAAAAATTAAAAATGGCCCTATCCAGTTTGGCTCAGTGGATAGAGCATCAGCCTGCGAGCTCAAGGGTCCCAGGTTCGATTCCAGTCAAAGGCATGTACCTTGGTTGCAGGCACATCCCCAGTAGGGAGTGTGCAGGAGGCAGCTGATTGATGTTTCTCTCTCATCAATGTTTCTAACTCTCTATCCCTCTCCCTTCCCCTCTGTAAAAAATCAATAAAATATATTTTAAAATATTTTTAAAATGGAACTGCCATTTGACCCAGTAATACCACTTCTAGGAATATATCCCAAGAAAACAGAAACACCAATCAGAAAGGATATATGCACCCCTATGTTCATAGCAGCACAATTTACAATAGCCAAGATTTGGAAACAGCCTAAATGCCCATCAACAGATGAGTGGATTAGAAAACTGTGGTCCATCTACACAATGGAATACTACACTGCTATAAAAAAGAAGGAATTCTTACCATTTGCAGCAGCATGGATGGAACTGGAGAACATTATGCTAAGTGAAATAAGCCAGGAAGTGAAAAAAAAAACACCACATGATCTCACTCAATTATGGGTAATAAAGAACATTATAACCGGATGAACAAAAAGATAGATACAGAGGCAGAGAAGCATTGAACAGACTGTCAAATTACAGTGGGAAGGCTGGGGAGTGTTTGGGGAGGGGGGAGAGGTAAGAGATCAACCAAAGGACTTGTATGCATGCATATAAGCATAACCAATGGACAGAAGACACTGGGGGGTGGGGTGAGGGCATGTCCCGGGGGGTAGGGGAGGTCGGGGGAAGGTCAATGGGGGGGGGGGAAGGAGACATATGTACTACTATTTGTAATACTTTAAACAAT